AGGTAAAAGCAATCAGGTTTCATTAACTTCAATTCGATTACCATCTTTTATATGATTTACCACAGGTGGCCTTTTTCTCTTACAAGCATAGAAATTCAAGCGGCAAAACACATGCTAAATATACCATACCATGCGACATACCATAAACGGATGGCATCGATCGTTCCTAACTGAGGTGAAGGGTGCCTGGGAGGTTGGCTTACTTGTTTAGCTGCGGTGACGATGTTTAGGTCGTGACAGCTTCCAGAACACAAAGCTTCCTCGTGTTTGGTGATATTATGATGGCAGTGTCTCTGGTGAGGCCTTCTTGGTTGATGTTCCGGGCGTATCTTCCCGCACGTGCTCTTTTGGGGCACGTCAGCCAAGTAACATGTCAAGCAGATTGAAAATGTGGTGGTAATGACACCAACGTAGCTTGATTGCTTTAGAAACATGCAATCTCCTATGTCACAACGCAAATGGTAAACGACGTTGGTTCGTTTCACGGGGTCAGAGTTAGGCGTTAGATTATTTTTCACGAAGAATTGGGTGATTATTTTGTTTTGGTGGTAGGTAGTGACCGGCATCTTGTCGTCCTGGTTGACTGGTTTGACGTCTTCAGATTTTATTTTCTTAAGGGTTCGCTGATGAGTGATTTTGTGACACAGATGTGGTACACGAAACAATATCAAAATTAAATACAGATTGAGACAAAAAACGGGCTGTGTGAGTGTTCACTTTGACATACGCCCGGTTGGCTTGTTTGATACCCTCCACTCGGGTGGGGGTCAAGTTGACCGCCTTGAAATATCAGAATCTCAGAGGCCAGAGACACCAAACTGATCGGGTGTGTTGGTCTGTAAATAAACTCACTGGGGTCAAATTTTCAGGCTCCTAGGTCATGAATTTTATGCCAAACAATGTCAAACTCCGCATTTGTGTTCAAAGTGTTGCTAGAACTGAACACCTGTTCTAAGCAAAAGGTCACATGCTTATTTAAGGTCAGTTACCTTTTTCGACCTTAGAAGGTTATGGTGACGAAAATCATAGAACACTGCATTGAGTTTTGCATTCAAATAAGCGACAAAGTTAACGCTAGGTAATGCGTTCCTAAAAACGAAATATTGACCTTAGTCAGCTTAGGTCAGTGACCTATTTTGACTTTCAAGAAGACCAGTGAAAATATCTAATGCGGTTCTTGTAATCAATCATTCCGAAGTGAGCACCAGAAACTACTTCATACAGCAAGACGTAGAGTGATAAAACAGGTTGGTTTTAATCTTGGGCCGACCCTCCCTACCTGACCCAAGGTCAATGGACTTTGGTGATTCAACTGATGCTCTGCCTAAAAATATCTTCGAAATGCTTCGCTTCATCTAACACTCCGTTGTCGACCTACTGCCGTAAAGTAGTAGGTCGACCTGTTGTAGGTCAGCGGTATTCACTTGCTATTAAGGTATGTTAATATTGACTAAAAAACGAGATTGCCACAATTTTTGCGCATTTCACAGATAACTTAACTTCTTTTGAATGGTGAGGAGTTGCAGTACTACTTCCAAACCTATATCATTATAGTCCATATCTTGGTTCTGTTCCAAGACAACACTTTAAAAAAAGATGAGTCGTTCATAGCACGGAGACCTATCGTCGTAAGTAAGCGTTTCCATAGAACCCCTCAAGTCCATACTGACGGAGGTGACTGTGGCCTGTCGACAAGTGGTGGTGACCCAACTATCCTGCTCCACCGCCACAACCTCGCTCGGTCATTCAACAACACCTGTCTTCCGTCTGCTGAAGCCGAATCAGCTGAGCCGGCGTTAGGAGTTGCTGTACTTTGAACCTGAATCAATACACAGGTTTTTATCTGTGTAAATCCGTTTAAGAAGTGCGGAATGCAGCTTACCATGCAGCTTTGTGTTATTTCCCTCCTGTGTTAGCAGTCTACACTAAAGCATAGATTCATGATGGTTTACGGCCAATATCAGTCATCAAACATGATAGCTCACTTGAGAAATATGTTTGATACAGGTGGCGCTTCTTTCAACAGGCCTAAAAATTGGTTCTTTAGGGAATCAGCTTTCGCTCAACTAGTACTTATTTTTGCTTAAGAGTTCTGCAGAACTTATCTTATTTATTACATGCGCCACTTCTTACTATTCTCCAATGCGTTTTTGTGGTTGACAGCACACTTTAAGTTGTACATGACTTCCATCGCTTGTATTGCGGTTTTGTCGTCCATGTACGTTGTCTGGAGCATGTTTTGGTAGGTATTTACTCTGTTGGCTCATCCTAAGTGGACATCCATTTGATGCAAATAAATATTGCATTTTGTTTCATCCTTTTATGGCAGCTGCTTTGTTTGAGGCAAGGCATTGTGCCCCCAAAAGCTGTGCGTGAAATGCCGTCATTTTGATTTTCATGGCGTCAGCTGATTTGAAGGGCAAGATGAGAGGGCCTCAGATTGGCTTGACGTAAAATTTGGAGTACGTATGGAGTGTTTGGTGTAATAGTTGATGTATTGAGTGTACTTGATGTAAAGTTACTTGCCAGTCTTTTGGACCGTGAGCAAGGTGTTGAGGTACAGAGTATCCCTAGTGTTGGAGTGATCTATTCTGTCAATCCCTCTACAGACAGATAGAGGGAATAGCTATGAGGAGTCGTATTGGCCCACCGCTGGCAATGGTTTTTGTGAACATGTAAGTTTTGCTGTTCGGTGCCTCGCCTCCGGCTCACTGGTACACTCAGTACGTCCAAAGTCACTTCTGCATTTGACAATCGTCACAGGCACTCCACACAGTCCGTGCCGCCGGCATGTCCGCCCTCGCGCCGGCGGCTCTCCGGGTCTTATTGTTACTACTCCTCTCCTCGCCCCCGCGGCCGCGACACTCGCCTGGAGCGTGAGGATTAATTTTGATTTCATGGTCGATCCATTCGAAGGAAGAAAATATCAGAAGTAGAGGGTTCATGTCAGAACAAAACATGTCAGAGATCGGGCTCTGGTCACATCTGTATGCGAGCGACAATGCATGATAAGGCGAGCGTGAATGACACCGTGGGATAGACAGACGACTACTTGTCGAATGCCGGCGCCTCTGAGAGGAACAAGGACACCCTGGCTCACGCAGCGCTGGTCGCAGATCGCTATGGGCGTCTCCAGTCGGGCCACCTTTGCAATCATGAACGTATTTGAACAGGACATAGGTTCTCTAAGGTCACAAGTTAGATACCACGACCCGTACTGCGTCGTACTACGTCAACAATACCCTTAATGTTGGTCACCTCATAAAACTGTGGCTCGCTGCTTCAAAAATAAGAAAGTAAAAAATTGTGCATGATGGTCGCGTGATTTCGAATTAATAGCTCATCATTATCCCGCTCAAGATATGAATCCGAAAGAATTTTCCATTTTTCTCTCCTTTTTCCTAACTATTTGATAAGGAATAAACCTATCAACACTGTCTTATGCGTGAAGCAGAGCATTCTGCCGGCCGTAAGCGGTGTTCTGTAGGTCATCATGACACAGCATGATTCTCTACCTGGCTGCAGCTCAAGCAACAAACAACTTTTTCCCAACCTAATTCGTAAAACCATATATCTTCTAAGCCAGAAACAAGGAACACACAGCATTTGCGCATTTTCACAGATGGCACCATGCTTTGAGATAACACGTTGTACAAACGTAACACGCTGCAAAGTGCGTAACTGCTAGTTCCCTTGTTGCTGCAACGGATGGCGCCAATTGCCCCCAGCTGACTCATTCTTTATGTACTTAAAACGGTTGCTCAGTGCCGTATCTTCAGTACCTTGCCAGCAGCCAGCGCAAGAACTTTCCGCTCGTACAAGTTTATTCCGTTGCCTTACAAGTTCCTCACGTTCCTTTCACTATGCTCCGTTTTGGCCTCCTGGTCCTGTGCTTGGTCGTGGCCGCCACGGCTAATCCCGCTAAGGTGGGAGTGAAAGGACACACCCACCAGTCTCTGACGGATGCGTATAATGCCATGAACACCGACGGCGACGACTGCGTCACCACGGCCGAACTCAACGCTTATACCGCCACACTGAATTCAGACGCAGCAGCGATCAAGTCGGATGTGGAAAAGCTGGCCGATGATGCGTCCCGACGCAAGTGAGGCGGATGCAGCGTCACCGGCGGAGTGGCGAGTCCACCACTGGCCGGCCATTGAACAACTCCGTCAGGCATCAGACGACTTTTCGGGGAGGAAGAAATGTCGCAAGATATGACATCACTTTTTCATCAACTAAGAAAACAGTCGTCAGATGTTGTGCGACATGGGCTCTCTTGATCCGTTGGCCAATGGGAACAGACGGCCCGTAATGTTTTCGAGCGAGTTCTTATGATGCGAAATAAATGTGTTAATACAGGCCCGTTTGCTACCACTCAACCTGAAAATTTTCAGATGCGATAATCTTTACTCATGTCGCATCATTGATTTCTTTTAAGAAGGGGTATAGTCTAACCGCTGCTAGTTATGTACTCCTAACCGTGCAACGATCATAGACACGATAATAACACGTGATTTTCATAACCAGCGAAGTTGTGCTAGTTGCACTTTTTGAAGTACCTGCCACACGTTGTCAGTCAGAGGTTACAGTGCCAAACAGAGGTCGTGTGGGGGCAAGTGGCCCGAGTCGACCAAGAGCGGTTTTTGAGCGGCCCGAAGAGGGGCCCAAGGGTATCTGGAGGCCAAAGATCAGGGGCCCGAATGGAAGGCTGAACGGCCAAGAGTGTGGTTGTAGGTCATATTTAAGACACCTGCCCGTAGAGTCATGGTCACCAACACCGAAAAATCACCAACACCGAACAGTCGGCTCCGTGCCGGTCTGAGATCGGGGAGCCCATTTCCTAGGTGGGGACACGGCCGAGCCTGCCATTTACACCGGTCCGTGATCACATTAATGCGGGGTTCGTGTGA